GGTCAACGGAATGCGTTTGAACTGATTACTCGCTAGGACTATTAAAGTGTGTGAAATGGGTTTAGGGGAATATAGGTCTATATTTCACTGTTAAATTGCATGTTGTGTGCATTTCTGTAACATGATATCAATCAAATCATTCTGTAAATTATGGGTGGTGTTTGATTTCATTATACCAAATACACAAAATAATGTTCTTTTTAGTAACATCATATGACAAAATGTAGTACAAAATACAACAGCCAATTAAAGGGGTCATATGATGTTGCTAAAAAGAACATTATTTTGTGTATTTGGTGTAATGAAATGTGTTTGTGTTTTAAGGTTAAAAAAACATACTGTACATTATTTTGCTGTAAAGTTGCTTTGCAACGATTTGTATCGTGAAAAGCGCTATACAAATAAACTTGAATTATTGTTTCTCCTCTATGCCCCGCCTTTCTGAAACGCGTAGATTTTTACAAAGCTCATCGGTCTGAAAAGCGAGGTGTGCTCTGATTGGCCAGCTATTCAGTGCGTTGTGATTGGCCGAATACCTCAAGCGTGTGACGGAAATGTTACGCAATATCTCTTTAGATTTGAGACTTTAGTCTTTGCAAATTTACAGATCTTCAAAGAGAAAGGAAAATTTGAAATCGCATCATATGACCCCTTTAAATTGACATAAAATATTGCACTCTGCCTACTAAAACAGGATGAAACCGTAATTATAGTACTTCAGAATATGCTGACTTTGTCAGATGCTTCAACAGATTCCTCCACAGTGTTAAATACGACATATGCTTTGACTCCACTGCATGGACACCAAGCCTGAAGTAAGTTTCATTCCAGATCTGTCATTTTTTTTAGGCCTTGAAATAGAACTTGTTGTCTGTCACCGTATGTGAGATTCAGCCAATTTTCTTTCAGTGAGAAAGTGATATATGTGGGTAGAAGATGAGTACACATGGTGCATGGGTAATTAGTCTCGTTGGGTTTGAGTTCAATGACTTACAGATGGCTGGGTGGATCAGTTAGACAAAGCAGAAACTTCACTTAATTCTTTTTGTGTTGTCCATTTAGACACTTTTGGCTCTGGTTAAGTCATACATCTTGAAGCACCTTGAGATAGAATACAAATTTATGGTGTTATTGTAAATGAGTCATCATCATGATTTGAAAAATTTCACTCAGCAATACGTCCAAATAATTTATTATATAATGCTGATATATAGTTTTTATTTATTATTTAGTTTATATATATATATATATATAATTTTTAATTAATATATAAAATATAAATATATCATACATTTAATTTATTGGCTATTTGCACATTTTTAGGAAAGGTTTTATCCCTTGTGCAATACAGCCCTCTGAATATACATACAGTACAAATTCATACTGATCTGTCAGTGATGCTTAATTGTCTATAATGTAATGAAATAATATATGCAAGGCTGCAGGAAGGGTTCAGGATGCAGGATGTTGCATGTTGCACCTTCCTGCCCCCTCCACCCTGCAGCATGAACATTCCTCTGTTTTTATTGCTAGAGTACAGGCTTTTCTCTATAATGCCTATTCTTATCACAGAAGAAGGTTGCAGATATTAAGATCCCCTATAGAACTTTCAGATGTCAAGTGAATTTCTGAGTTCAAAGTTCAGTCTGAAACTTCAGTTTTAAAGTAAGCGTGTGTATGTACATGTGAAAGAGGGAGATAACATAAAACTGGTGTTAAAAAGACGCCCGCAGACCGCAGCATGAAACCATGTTACTTTTTGGCTCTCACCAACTTCCTGTTTCTACCACAGATATTACAGTACAGCTTGAGACACTGTGATTTAATAATTGTTACCCTTGACCTCACTATTACATATCACCACATATTTTGGAAGCCTGTTTCTGCCTTTGGATAATGAAAAAGATCAATTGTGACTTCCAAACTAATAATTTTGAGAAAAATGTCATAGTAGCAAGATGTTAACTCGCAATTGCAAATTTATAACTCGTAATTCTGACAGAATTGGGAATTGGGAATTTGGAGAAAACAAGTCAACATGACAAGATGGAGGAAACAGGTTTCCATATTACCACTAAAACAGAAGCAGAAAAATGATTAATATGAGACATAATGAATGAATACCTAGAAAATGCACTTACAAATATATATTTATTTATTGGCAGGTCCAGGTTTGTTCTTTGTGATAAAAATAGCAGTTTATTGGTATTAGAATTTAGAATTTCTCACTCAGCATATGCATTGAAAGTATTATTTTACAATAGATATTTTCAGATGGTTAGTTTCCTGAATATTTTCAGATTATTTACAGAGTTGAGCACAGTCACAGGGACAGCTGTGATTTCTCAGGACACATTTTTTGCTGATCAAGTAGTAGGGATTTTTTATGTGTGGTATTCAAAAGAATCACTTACAGCACTTTTAATAAGATCTTTCCAGTTGTGCTTTGTCAGTTTCTGTCCCAGGATCTTAATCAATATGAAATAAGATAGATAGATCGAGGTGAAGAAACCTGCCACAAAGATTGCTGACTCACAACACACATATAGATAGCAAATGATGATTTATTTACCACATATCTTCTCTTTAATTTGCCCTTCAAATTGACAATTGATGTCTGGCTCTCCAGACCACCAAAGTGCAGTGCTAGACAGAATCTTCCTACGGCGTTGTAAAACTGAGACCAGACAAAATGTAAGTTATTGATGCTTTTTGCATCGGTTTTGTCTGACCTTTTGATTGAGGCCATTGTGTTAACATGTTACCAACAATTCGGTTATTAACCAAAGCATGAGGAAATCTGACTATATTTTTACATTTTCTGAAGAATGTGCAGAAGTCAGATCACTTAGACAAGCCACACGATTTCAGGTAGGCTATCATTAATGTCTATAGCTCAAACGGGCTGGTATGAGTTATGCAATGTTTAATACTTAGGACCAAGGGTTTTGAAAAACCATATCATGGAAAGGACAACTGATTTAAAATAGTCTAGGTCTTTCAACAGTCTACATCTGAATTATAATTCAGAGCTCTAAGACAATGATGTTACAGGCTCATACTGCATTAGTTTTATATGGTGGATTGTCCTGCTTCATTCAACTGATTCAGTGGTGTAGTGGTGCTTGGAGAAGTGGGTATACTCTTAATTTATGCCCCATGACATGTTTTAAACAGTGACGTGTAAAACTAGTCTTGTATATTTAGTTCACCCCAAAATGGGCCAGTAGTATTTGCATATTGTCACTTAACTTCTGCTGCTTGACTTCACGGAGTAAGAATCATTATGAAATAAAAATTTGCCACAGAAGAGATGCAGATTTTGCACAAAAAAAAAATAGACTGCAGCAATTAACATTTTGTCAGAACCTCTAGTACATTACATGCTATTTTTTTTAGTTGTCTGTTTGTAGGAGAATAATGATCTCTATTTTTTATTATTTTTTTAAAATCGACAAAAAAAAAATAGACTGCAGCAATTAACATTTTGTCAGAACCTCTAGTACATTACATGCTATTTTTTTAGTTGTCTGTTTGTAGGAGAATAATGATCTCTATTTTTTATTATTTTTTTTAAATCATGACAATTTATCCAGAATTTATCCCCCCATCCCCACCACCTTTTTAATATAAATAAGCACCAGTCAAGCTGCGATATCAAACAGGACCACAGGGAGACGCCAAAAGACCACTAAACCTGCTGTCTTGAGCTTACTGTACATACGATCCATTCAGAATAACTATACCAGTGCATAATCTAAAACACCTTCAGTCACCATTCAGTATAACACTGGTGCTTTTAAACCAAATACACACTGAAAATAATAATTTACTGACATCTGGACTCGACTCTCCACAATCTCTGATGAAATCGGTTGGGTTTTCTCTGTATTAGAGCTGTTTTGAATTTACTGTTTGAATGCATTTGTTTACTGGAGCCTTTGACTGAAAAGTTTACAGGAGTTTACGGGTTTTTAAGCTATTGTTTTCGTTGTAATGTACTGATTCAAATTAGTAATCAGTAATTAACTATTATTTTACCACTCTGCGCATCCCCTGACATGCTCTCGCGCATGAAGAAGCAGTGCCTCTGTCACTGTCGGCAGTCGGCATCCTCTCTGACTGACGGAGCTGGCGAAGGCGCAATCATTAAACATATTTCAAAAGAAGCCGGTGCCACGGTCACATGCGATTGGATTAGCTATTCATGTGGTGGACTGTCATGATTTTGCCTAATGCAGGACACTAATGAATGATGCGCATCAGAAGAGATTTAGAAGTGGGTATAGGCTACGCAAAGCCGACTGATAAAGAAGTGGGTGTCCTCCACTACACCACTGAGCTGATTGCTTTACAGATGTGCACAGCTGGCCATGTCAGGTCTATCATGATGTTGTTTAACTAAGCAGCTATATATATAATATTACGCGATTAATCGCATCCAAAATTACAATTATTGTTTACAAAATATATGTGTGTGTACTGTGTATATTTATTATGTATACATAAATACACAAACATACATGTACCCCCAAAAAAAGAAAATTCTGTTAAATTTATTCAAGCTTATGTTCCAAAACAAATTCAAAATCATCACAATTAAAAGAACCAAAGACATAAACTACTTCAGTCTGTGTGCATTGAATTTATTTAATACACAAGTTTCACAATTTGAGTTGAATTACTGAAATAAATGAACTTTTCCACGACATTCTAATTTATTGAGATGCACCTGTGTATGTAGACTATATAAGCTTGAATACATTTGAAGGAAGTTTCGATTTTTTTTGGGAGGTACACACGAAAGTATTGTGAATGGAGCAGCAAGTGCCTGGCACGAGAAGTTTCTTTCATTATTTGTTCGTGTGCGCGTTCCCGTCAGCGTCCCTCGTGAATTTTGTGTGGAGTACAGCGGGCGCGCGCACGGCTCCAGTCAGTCCCAGCGCTTTGTCACAGGGAGCGCGCACGGAGCGCGATAAGACAAGAGCCGGGAACGCGGAAACAGTGCAAGCGGTTGACAATAGAGTTGAGGTGCATTAGCCGGCGACTGCGGGAAAGAGCGACGCTCACCGCAGAAACCGTGTTTGAAAGCCCAGTATCTGGGTGTAACAGATTTACTTTTATTTCAGGTCGTCGGATAAGAAGCCCGTTTGAGTGGATAAAACCGCACCAGTGAGGAAAAAGGCGGATTGTTTCTCTCTCCGGCTTGACTAGAATTAGTCGGGATTTGAGAATGTCGGGGAGCCGAGAGGAGGAGCGGCGGAAACTCGCCGACATCATCAACCACTGGAACGCCAACCGGCTCGACCTGTTCGAGATCAGCCAACCGACCGAGGTGAGCCCGCGGAGCCGCCAGCGAGCGCAGGCCGCACGGTCTCCTGTCTGTCCGTGCCGCGAGATCCATTCCCTCAGCACGCGAGATTGTTATAGTAAAGAAACGTGCGCTTAATCTGTCATATATGATCTGTTTTTGTGTCTCAGTGGCTCTGGAACGGCTAAATCACGACGGGAGCTTTATTATGACTTATCTAATGCATTTTTGAGTCAGGTAATGGCAGGTTATGTCTATGTTGGAGGTGAAGTAAAGCATAAATAGTCTAGTATGAGTAAAATGTGGACACTTCTAGCTGAGTCGCTGTAGCTGTTCAACACTGGCCTTTGTGTTTTACGTTAAAACGTTTCTTACCACGCACGAGCCGGTCATTTACCGGGCTAAAATCGGTGCTTGCAGTTTGAGGCAGAGAGCTGCATGCAAAGCTGTCGGATTAGATCAGACCAGCTGCATAATAGTTCTGGATGATGTTGTAGATGAATGTAATAAACATGGTTTGTTAGGATGTCAGTCGATGGTCAACAGAAACTGGCTGTATAAGTGATGTAACCTGAAATGCACCGGTGGTTGTGCGTTTATTTGCACAGTGTATGTTTTCAGATATTTCTAACGCAAGCGTCATGCATGTTGTCACTCGGGTGCATGAGAATGTGCATTGCTATATTTGCTTAAATGTTAGCTCAAGCATGTTTTAGATGCATCTAGCAAACAATCGCTGGATAAATGGTGTTTAACGCGCATTTGTTTTGCATGCATATGCTTTGGAATTAGTGTTTTTAGGCGGGCAGTGCATGAATGCATTGAATGAAGGGGGTTGGGGGTAAAGCATCAGGTCGGGGGTCTTCCCTGCTGATTTACTGGAAACCCCATAGGCGCTAAGAATATTCTTTGGCTCTTAATAATTCATGCATAAGACGTGGTATTGAGCCCCTGAGGCACCTGCTGATGTGACATAATAAAAGCCTAGATTAGGTTTGTTTTGGTGTGTAGAGGGTGATTACTAAGAAGTGGACAATGCATTGACAGAACCCCCTTAAAGACCACAAACTCTTAAGATCAGCAGGAGTGTTGAAGAGCAGATGATGACGTAATCGTCTTGTCCTCCAACCAAACGATTTGCAAGCCTGCTTCTATTGTCACATTTTATTCACTGGAACATTGTATAACTAGAGATCTACTAATATAATTTTTTTCATTCAGTCCTGATTGTTTTTGTTATAATAACCAGTGTGCAGAACCGATATTTTATTTTTATTGTTATTAGATTGCAAAACATAAATATAATAAAGTTTATTTAAATATTTATCTAATATAATATATTCAATTTATATATGCATAAAAATTCTGATGTAATTATTATTAGTTATGCCATGACATACTGCACGCAGCTGTTTTGCGATCTAAGTGGTTGCATATTTATTTTTTACTTTTTGTTTTGGGCTGTGAGTGTGACTAGGGCTGAGAAGCCTAAAATGCTTTGCATTTCTCACTTGAGAATGAATTATGTAAGGAGTCATTTGTGTAAACAATCCATTAAGTAACAATCCAAATAAGTAGTTAACTTTACCTTTTGAAACGCTACTGTTTACTGTTGAATGCACAGTGGTGTAATGACATTGAAGGGTGCTTTATTTTTGGAGACACAAATGATGCAGAATATCAGTAGACCAGACATTTAAGGACTGATTGTCAGTCTTTCTGAACATCACCTGATTTTAAAGGAATAGTTCACCAAAAAAATGAAAATTTGCTGATAAGTTACTCCCCCTCAGGCCATACAGTGAATACAGTCAATAATACACAAGTAATCCACATGACTCCAGTCCATCAATTAACATCTGGTGAAGCGTAAAACTACATGTTTGTAATAAAACATAATTCATCTTTAAAACATTTTTAACTTAAAACTGATGAGTCCTCTATCCATAATATAGCTTTCTCCAGTGTACTATTCCATGAAAGCATATTGGCTTGGCAGTAGATGGATGTGTACAAAAGTGTGTTTGGAATGCTAACGTGTATGCAAGTTATCACAAGCTAACATGTATCACAGTCATTTGGGATTAAGGTGTGTTTACAGATCTTATTTGGAGATCCAGGGCAGACCTAAAAAATGCCTTGTTATACATTAAATAAATAAGCAAGTGTGTTTAACAGGCTTAGTCATTTATTGCATGCATGGTTTTCTGGGATTGTTTTGCATGTGGTATCTGCAGTGTGGCGTCTTCCTGTTTTGCACAACTTTTCATTTTAGAATTTGTGTGCATAGTCTTTATGAAGTCAGATTGCTTCCTTTAGTTCCCTCTGTTTAGGATACATTTCTTGCAATGTTGCTCATTTGTAATTCACTTTGGATAAAGCGCCTACTAAATGATTAAATGTAAATGAAACATTGCTTTTTATATGGTAATTAAAAAGCTACAAGATACCATGTTTAAAAGATAACATTTCATAATCTTTCATGAGATTACACTCTTAAAAATAAAGGTGCTTCAAAAGGTTCTTCAAGCGATGCCATAGAACAGGGTTCCTCAAATCTTACCCTGGAGGTCCAATGCGCTGCAGAGTTTAGCTCCAACCCTGATCAAACTCAGCTACCTGTGATTTTCGAATGATCCTGAAGACATTGATTAGCATGCTCAGGTGTGTTTGATTAGGGTTAGAGCTAAACTCTGCAGGAAAGTGGATCTCGTGGTCCAGATTTGAGGATCCCTGCCATAGAAGAACCATTTTTGGTTCCACAAAGAACCATTCGGTCAAAGGTTCTTTAAAGAACCATCTCTTTCTAACCTTTTTATAATCTGAAGAACCTTCTTTCGCCACAAAAAACCTTTTGTGAAACAGAAAGGTTCTTCAGATGTTAAAGGTTCTTTATGGAACCATTTAGACAAAAAGGTTCTTCTGTGGCATCGTGAAGCACCTTTATTTTTAAGAGTGTACTTGAGCTTTTAGGAAGGGTGCATCAGGCAATTGTTTAAACTGATTGGTGTGTTGAAATTAATTTGATTCCAAAATACAAAAACCAAGCTTTTCACCAGTTGACACTGTGTTTTTAAGAAGATGGAGGATCAAAGTGATGCATGCCGTCATTTCCTGTATCTACATCTGTATCTTGTCCACCAAAGATCGTTTCATGGGCCTGACTGTCCCCACCCTACTGACGTCTTGTGAATCCATTCCCATGTGTCTCAAACTGGCTAAGATTGGCTCTGTGACATCCGCTTTGGCAAGTGTTAGATACCCATTGCATGGCTGAAAGGACATAAAAAAAAGATTGTGAAGTTGTTGTTGCTAGAGGCAGGGCTCGACAGTGCGACCATTTCAGTCGCATTTGCGACTGAAAACTACTGCGTGCGACTATGAAATTTATTTTAGGAGCACCAGTGCGACTGACCCGATCATCATCATACTTGTGGTTGCGCTCAGGGAAGCTTCAAAGCTTTCTACGTGTTTTTGCAGCGTCGAGTAATGTATCAGACATATCTCACCAATCCTTCATAAGCAAAGTGTAGACAGGGTGTAAATAAGAGATTCATCACACAGTGTAGAGAGCTTCGTTGATTATAAATGTGAGCTCGCGATGAACTAAGATGATGAGTGACAGCTTTGAATGATTTTTAAGGGAGTTTGTAAATGTGATAACTGATTTAATACAATACAATTCAATAAACAAGAAGTTAATTTTAAGTTACTTACATTGTCTGACTATAACACTATTGTCTGATTTTGCTCTATTTCGTTGTATTTCGAAATATTTCGAAAATAGTTTAAAAACAAAGTCACAGCTCAGCCGCTGCGCATCTCCATTCAAACACAGCGGTGTTTCGTTTATGAACGAACAGTTTTTTTAAACGAATCTAGTGAGTCAGTGATTCATGATTACCCATTCATAAAGACAGTCACTCTTGAATGAATAAGCCGTTCGAATGAATCAATTGAATGAATGATTCAGTGATAAAAATCAGTGACTTGCCGCCACCTGCTGGCAGTTTTAGTTTCATTTTTAAAGTATCTTTTCAGTTATTTAAATCATTTAATATTTCTATATTCAAAATTTTATATTTAAAACATTAATATCATCATGGATTTATGGATTTAATTGCACTCATTCCACTTCTGAACCTCATTAAATGTCTGAAAGTACATCAAACAACACTTTTGTGTTCTTCTGTGCCACCTCTACAAATTATTTTTGTTAATACTGATTTCATTTGATTTTTAACTTGTTTCTTATTCTACTCTTATTCTGTTGTTAAGCTTATAATTTAAGAATTTGACAAAAGATGACATACTTTTAATAAAGTTAGAGGAGTCAAATATTACCTCGTAATGGGAAGGCTACTTTTTGATAACATTTTGGATTATTGATTAGAAGGTGCTCCTAAAATTTTGAACGTGCTCCTACATTTTTTAAGTTAGGAGCACAAGTGCTCCTAAAAAGAAAAGTAAGCGTCGAGCCCTGGCTAGAGGTAAACCTATAATTGGTTTAGCTGACATTTTAAATGGATATTTATGCTTTTGTTCTTTAATATAGGGTTTCTCACTACATTTAGACATAATGAAAAACATAGATGAACAGGACGTTGTGATGCATTAGAATATGCTTCTGGGTTTCCGATGCTAGAACACTTTTAATTTTAGGTAGCATTAAATTAAGAGTCTTGGACAAGTATATGATACTAGTAAAACTGGTTACATTCATTAGTTGTTGCAAATGCACATTATTAGTCAAGTAAAGAATGCTGTTCAGAGGTAAGTGATGAATGATGTAGTTATTAAAGGGGTAATGAATTGAGAAATCAAAATTCCCTTGATTTTTTTGACATGTAAGAGGTCATTGTCCTATAAAAACATACTGTAAGTTTCAGAACTCAAAACTTTCTCATTAGTCTAAAAACAGCTTATATTGAAGCCATTCTGTTGAAGCCAACAGTTTATGGAATGTGCCACTTTATGATGTAACAATGTGGCTAAACTCTGCCTCCACAAAAGATCAACCCCTG